CAACCAGATGCAACTTCATCTTGCGGTTGGGTTTGCTCACTGACTACTCTGTAGATACAGCGGTCCCTTTGAGAGAAGGCCCGTGTATACACAAGCTTGGTGTAAGATGCCCCGATCGTCACAAGGAAACTGGAATGCGCTCTTCCTCGAGTTTGTTTATGCTTGCGGTAAACGATGAATGTGAGCGTGTGGGTGGGGCTGCTTTACAGCAGCGAGAGGTTGCGCGGGAAGTTGATGAAAAAAAAAACGCAGATTACCTGCCCTTTCGAAAATTCGAAGAATGTGCTTCTTGGTGGGGAAGTGCATTGGACCGCGTGGCGTATGCATCTGGCCGTTTCGGACAAAAACAAAAAAGCCCGTGCTGTGTCGCGTTTGTTTGTTATAAGGGGGGGTATACCCATGTTATTGCGACATGCAACATCGACCGCGTGTGTTCGTCCCACATCTATTCCGGCGCCGGTTTACAAGCAAACCGAGTTCCCAATTACCCAACCAAGTGCATTCAGACCACACCCGTACTTTTTTGTCTTTTCGTCGAGTTGTATGTGTCATCACTGCATGATGCTCCTTCTTCTCCACGTAGGTGTTGCTTGAAGGTGGTGGTGGTATGCATGCAACCGCGGTATATAGCAGCAGCAGCAGCAGTATACAACAATGAGTAGAAAGCACACACTACAGCAGTACAGGAGCCAACAAAGGGTTGCTAGAATCTATCTTGCTGGACTTATTATGGAGAGTGAATGAGCGTGATGGTGATGGTTCGTGCGGTCCTCACGGGGCGGCTGGGAATTTTTCAACCATTTCTGCCAAGGCGCTAGGTCAGCACCCAGCGCTGCAGCAGCAGCTCTCAGAGCTTGTTGTTCCTGCGCCGAGATCCATCTGCTGTTGGTAGCAGTTATTTTTCAGAATGGATGGGAGCTAACTGACGCGAGAATGGATGGGATGCCGCATCCTTGGTCAAACATGTCGAAGCTAGCTGCAAGATGTCGCTGTGCTGCTCTCATGCTCTGACTGGGACTTCTCGCATGTGGCTGCCTGGGCACTGGGCACCTGCGCAGTCTAGAGAAGTATACTGACCTAGATTGTACATACTGTAGAGACATGTAAATAATACATGTAATACGAAGCCGAAGCAGGTAGATTTACATCTCGGCGGCCTGCAGAGAGAGGCGGGCACGGGGTGCACGCGCCCGTGCACGCGTTTTTTGGGGGGGTTTGAAGTTCTGCTGAGATTCGGAACCAACCAGCAGAGTTCGGGATTCCGTGCACCAAGTCACACATCACCATATTATAATACTACAGCAGTATGCAGCAGTATCCCCTCATACCCTCTCACACATAATGGTAGGCTACAGCAGCAGCAACGAAAGAACGAACAATGACGCGATTCTCTGCTCTTTACGCCGCCTTGTTTGCGGGGGCCGTGACATCGGGCACTCGCGTGTCGTCGACGTGGGGAGCTGCACCGAGTTCGCAGCCGTAGACCGCAAGGAAGGTCGAAACCGAGGTGACGATCACCGCGAGGCCGACTTTGCTTGCGACGAGTACACGAGCCTGTCGATCCGCAGCGACATGGTGCTCAAGTCTTCGGTGGGCAAGGTGACCTTCACCAACTTTGCGCTGAAGGTGTACGGGTCGCTTACGGTGGAGCCGGACGTGGTGTTCACTGGGGTGTCTCTCGTGGTAAGTGGTGAGCGTCAACCTCATGCAACGGTCATGTCGAGACAATCATTTTTTTTTTTTCTTGTCTTCACTTCAAGTCAGCGCTCATAGCACTACAGTAGTGCCGTTTACTCCAACCCGTGGTCACACAGAACAACCCCTCTCTACCCTCCCATCCTGCGGTACTTTGCCTTCGATTTTCAATGCGAGAAGAGTTCAGCACTCTCTTCCCTCTGTGTACACACGAACTAGCGCTATCCACTAGGCCAGGAGCGGAAGCGAGAGAAAAGCTCACTTTTTGCAAGAAAAGCTCGCTTGCGTCGGGATTCGAACCCCTGACTTGACCTCTAGAAGGTTTCGAGGATACCAACTAGACCACCGGGGGGACGATAGCCCGCCTGAATCAGAATTCACCGCAGCAGCAGCAGGGTCGGTGCAGCCTGTACTTTCTGGCAAGGAGCTATACATAGGATCGTTTAATTTGCATAAAGGGAGCAGGCCAAAGAGAGAGAGAGCGAGAGCGGGCACGAAAGGGAGAGAGCGAGCGAGAGCGAGGGCGCGAGAGCGCTAGAGAGACCGAGAGATGTTTTACCTAAAAGGCGGCCAAATGCGGAAAATGGAAAAGGTACTGAAGACGTATGTTGTTGAAGCAGATGCCACCACCGCACACTTGGAACATACCTCGAACATACACACTGCACAGCAACCTTTTGTACTACTATGCATACATACAAAATGTAGCACAATTTGTCGCTGGTGTTGTACTTGGACTGTAGACTTACATATATCCTCATCCTCTTCAGAGAGCTTTCGACAAAGTCCTACACTACATATACTTCCACGCTTCTCTTGCACGGACAGGGGGGGATCACATCTGTTACAGCTGTCAGCAGACCCTTGTCTCTATCACGTGTAACCAGCGGTGGGCGAGGTTCTTCAGCACCCTACTCAACACCAAATCCCCCACCCTGAACCCAGACATCATCGAACGAGTGACGCAGCGGCCAGCGACACGTGACACTCAACGGTTGGGAGAGGTGCCAGAACTCGAGGAGGTGAAACGGGCAACGAAAGACCTCAAGAACTGGAAGGTACCCGGCCATGACTCCCTCCCTGCCGAGTTGCTCAAGATCGATGACGACGAACCCTTCGTCCTGGGGCACCTCTATACCATCCTCGTAAAGGTGTGGAACGGAGGAGACATTCCGTAAGAGTGGAAGGATGCAACCATCAAGGTGCTGTACAAGAAGGGTGGCCGGTCCAACTGTAACAACTACAGGGGGATTTCGCTACTATCTCAATTAGGCAAGGTCCCCATCAAGATCATCACCAACCGTCTAAGCGCCTTCTGCGAAGCCAACAACATCCTCCCGGAGGAACAGTGCGGATTTCGACCCGGGAGATCCACCGTCGACATGCTTTTCGTCGTGCGCCGCCTCCAGGAGCTGGGGCGGAGAAAGAAAATACCGCTCTACATGTGCTTCGTCGACTTGAAGAAGGCGTATGATTCGGTGGACCGAGAGATGCTATGGGAGGTGCTGGCCAGGGCCGGGATTCCCGCGAAGCTGATCAAAGTCATCCGCCAATTCCACGATGGAATGCGCGCCCGGGTGCGCACGGACGACGGAGCGATAGGTTCTTCGTCACACAGGGCGTGCGACAAGGATGTGTGCTATCCCCACTGCTGTTCAACATCTTCTTCGCCGAGGGCCTCAAGGTCGTCGTCATCCGATTCAGCGAGGATGGTGTTGTTCTGCGGAACCTGGTGTGTTTGGAGGAGGGGAACACGGAAGCGGGGGGGGGGAGGAGGAGAAACCCCTTGACCGAGTACGGAGGGCAGTATGGGGGATGCTGTATGCCGATGATGCCGGCGTCGTATCGAGGTGTGCAGAAGGACTGGCGAGAATGATGACCATCATCGTTGAGGTGTTCGGGGAGTTCGGGCTAACGGTGTCGGAGAAGAAGACGGAGACGCTCCTGATACGCGCGAAGGACAAGCCGACTACAACAGCACAGCCCCCCCCGCCTCCACCGCTGACCATCGAAGCCGCGGGACAGAAATACACCTAGACGACCGAGTTCCGGTACCTCGGTGGCCTCGTCAACGAACATGGCGACCTCACCCGGGAGATCAACTACAGGAGCAGAGGAGCGTGGGCGTACCTCAGGCGATATGGCCGGGAGCTCTTCGACAGACCGAAAGCGCCATTCCGACTCAAGATCCGCCTGCTCCAGGCGGAGGCGATGGAGGCACTGCTGTACGGCTGCATGACATGGCGACCACTCCGCGGCCACTATCAGACGCTACGGTCGACACACCACCGACTGCTCTGCCGAGTTATCGGGTAAAAGCGCAAGAAAGACACCTACCGGCAGCTCTCTTACGCCCAGACGCTGAAGAGGGTCGAATGCCAAAGCGTTGAAGCCACGATCCGACAACGACGCCTACTGTTCGCGGGAGCACTGGCAAGGTAGCCCGACGGGCGACTCCCGAAACGACTGATGCTCGGCGAACTGGCGGGGGGGGAGAAGCGACGTAGGGGGGGACAGGAGCAGAACTGGCCGAAGTGTGTGTTCGACGACCTGAAGGCATGCGGGGCCGACCACGGATCTACGAAAACCGATCCATGTTGTCTCGGAATCCCGGTACCGAAAGACACGGCACCGAAGTTAAAGTGGACGGAAGCCGCGAAGGTGGAGGGGGGAGTATCCTGGCATGCGGCGGTGCTGCAGGGAGCTGAGAGGTTCATGACCTCCTGGCACGAGAAGGAAGAAGAGGCCAGCCTACAACGAGCGCTCAAACGAAACCACAAGCCAACAACCAATGGGGCAGGAGAAGTGTTACCTCGATCGCCTGCAAAGCACAACGGTGGAGTCCTCACATGGCGGATATCCTGATGACGCAGCTCCATCGAGGACTCCGCAGGCTATCGGGGTGACGTTCTCGTCTTTGAGTGGCAGCACCACTTTTCACCCGTGTTTGCCCGACTACCTTAGTGTCTTTCTGGAACAGGCTCTTGAAACAACCGTTAGAGAAGTTCCAACAATCAATCTCTCTCGTGTCCCCGGACTCAGCTGGAGGCCATGGAGGTGGCGGCAGGGGTAAGGGTACGATTGAGCCGATGCCATTTGGCGGAAAGTGTCAGGCCAGCGGACTGGCTGACATAGGTTGACCTCCGTGCCAAAAAAAGCAAACAAATATACCTTACGTCATGCCCCATGCCGCGCAAGTTGCTGTCTCGACCAACTGTTCCGCTGCTCGTACTGGGCATATGGATACTTCCGCCTCGTCATGAGGTAAAGTCAAGGTATTGTCTGCCCCATCTCTCTGCGTCTTCCCCCATTGAAACTTTTCTGTCTTCCTTACGCGTTGTGTTTGCGATCTGCATGATGACGTCATGAATGCAGTACCTGTCGGGGACGGTGGTGAACGCCCTGAGGGAGCAGCACGGGGAGTTCCTTCTGAAGGAGCTCGTGCGAAGGTGGTCCAACCACAAGATCATGAACCAGTGGATGCAGAAGTTCTTTCAGTACCTCGACAGGTGAGCAGCTGGTTTTTGGCTTTTCGGGAAATCAGATCAACCTTCGAGGAGTGTGGCATCGTACAGTACCGCCATCGCTCCTCGGCGAAGGCCATTCCTCGGCGATTCCTGTGTTGGCCTTGACAACGCGCCCAACGGCCCGCCTCCGAACCGTGATATTTTTCCGGCGTCACCCACCTAATTTTTCGTCGCCCTCTGAAACACCTTTTGATGTATTGGCGATGGGATAACAACTGCCAGACTTTTTTGTCGTTTTGCATACGTCGCCTTGAGCCGATCCCAGCCGAGGGCTTGGCGATACAGCAGCCGGTTTTGTGTAGCTCATGGTGATGTTGTCGGGGGGGAGTAGCAGCTGCTACTGCTGTACTCGTGGCAAAAGTGACTTAACATCCCAAACCCATGCCGCTAGAATTCGAAGCATGGGGTTTGGAGGTAACTTGCCGCAGAATTACCTGCTGGCCACCTACCGCTTTTGTAGAGAACATGCCAGTGCCAGACTCAAAACTCGAAAAAAAATTACGTTGAGAGTTTAATGCTGCCATGAATGCTATGCGTACCACAACAGTCGCACTTTTTTTTTCTCTTCTGTGTGATGTATGTATCTACCTCGAACGTAATGCAATGCAGGTACTACGTGAAGCACCACTCGTTGCCATCGTTGAAGGAGGCGGGGCTGAAGCACTTCAAGACGCTCGTCTACGATGCCGTCAAGTCGGTGCGTGTTTCGTGCCATCTCTTCTCGGGCGGTGGCATTTTCCCGCGGGTGTCTTGACTTGTCTGCGTTTTTTTCCAAATCCGTTGATGCTGTTGTTGCTGTTCTTGTTGCTGTTGTCCCTCGCGTTCTTTTGGCGGCTGTTTCCCACGGTTCTATTGACTTTACTGCGATTTTGTCCATCTTGGTCGTCGTTGCTGCATCTGCAGTCCCTCGCGTTCTCTTGGCGGCATCTTCCCACGGTTCTCTCGAATTGACTCCGGTTTTTTCCACTTCAGTCGTTGTTGCTGCGTCGTTGTTGCTGCGTCTGCAGTCCCTCGCGTTCTCTTGGCGGTATGTTCCCACGGTTCTGTTGGCTTGACTGCGGTTTTTTCCACCCCAGTCGTCGTTGCTGCGTCTGCCGTCCCTCGCGTTCTCTTGGCGGTATTTTCCCACGGTTCTCTCGACTTGACTGTGTTCCACCTCTGCTGCTGTCCCTTGCGTGCTCTCTCGGGCTTCGTCGCGTGCGGTGTTGTGTACTGTACGTGCGTGTGCTTGTTTCTCTTAGACGGTGGTGAACGCGATGCTGGACGTAATCAACAAGGAGAGGGAAGGGACCATCATCGACCGACCGCTCATTGGGTGAGTAGAGGAGAGAGAGGGACGAGGGAATGTTGGAAAGACACTCACAGAACACAGAAAAGAGGAGGAGAGAGAGAGAGAGAGAGAGAGAGAGAGAGAGAGAGAGAGAGAGAGAGAGAGAGAGAGAGAGAGAGAGAGAGAGAGCGAGATAGAGAGAGAGAGAGGGAGGCCGGAGTACGTATCCTAATTTTAAGTTCTTAACTCCTCTGTATTTGCATCATTACATCTTTTTTTCAGATCGTGCGTGGAGTTGTTCGAGTCGATGGGGATGGCTACGCTGGACTAGTACGTGGCGGACCTCGAGGAGGCTCTCCTGGCCAACACCAAGGACCACTACACCAGGAAGAGCCAGGAGTGGATAGCGACAGACCCCACGCCGGACTACATGATCAAGGTGCCGTATCTTGTAGACAGGATCGAATTGGATTTTAGTAGGCAAGAGGTCGGTATTGTAAGGAAGAGCCAGGAGTGGATAGAGCCAGACTCCACGCCCAACTACGCGATCAAAGTGTTTTTTCTAACAATACACGCGCTAAAGCTGGAGCAAGGGCACTGCTAGTATTTTCATTTTCTTTCTGCGTTCCCCTTGTTGTTGTTGTGTGCCACGTGGTATGGCACTTTGAGACCCACGTGCAAGAAAAGCTGGTGCGCTTCTTCCTGTTTTTTGTTGTTGTCCTTGTTTCAGGCGGAAAACGCCCTGGAGGCTGAGAACTTCGGGTGGACAACTACCTCAACCCTTCCACGGAGGCGAAGCTGCTAAGTGTCTGCGACGACGAGATGCTCGAGAAGAGGTGGGCAGGGCAGAGCGCAACTCGACGGGTTGGACACCGAATCGGCGGTTTTGGAAGAGTAGTAGACGTGTCTGGGAGCATGAAGGGGGGACAGCCTACGTGTGATTTTGGTTTTATTGGGACGTTGGGTGGTTGGGAGCATGACACCGAATTGGCGGTCTTGAAAGAGTAGTAGACGTGTCTGGGAGCATGAAGGGGGGACAGCCTACGTGTGATTTGGTTTTGTTGGGACGTCATGGGTGGAGTTTATGGTTGGGAGCGTGAGGGGGCAGCCTGGTGCGGGAATTGGTGGTTTGTAGTTGATATTGTTGCGAAGTCCGTGTCGGGTGTAGTTTGTAAGCGTGCCCGTGTAACTCAAGAACTCTGTAGGTACGAAGAAGTAATCGAACTATTGAGTTTTTTTACCTTCGTTTGGTGTCGTTGTCTTGGCTTGGCACCACGCAGAGAGAAGATCTTGCTCGAGAAGGCAGGCAGCGGGTGCAAGGTCCTCCTGGCCAACGACAAGTCCGACGACCTCAGCCGGACGTACCGCCTCTTCAACCGCCTCCCCAAGGGGCTGGAGCCCATGGCAGAGATCATCAAGGACCACATCACCGAGGTAGGTCTTGTCTCGTTTCAGGCGCACACACGCGGCGCATTATTGTGTTACTGCGCGAAACGCCCCGCTGCTCTGTGAGGCGCCCAGAAGTGAGGATTCAGATTGAGCTAATAATACTCATCCCTTTTGTGTACGATCGAACACAAAACAAACACAAACAAACGCAAACTGAGGATTCAGGTTGAGCTCAAACACTCACCTCTCTTGTGTAAGATTGTAGACAAAACAAACGAAAAGTGAAGAAATGACCCCACCCCACGGCTTGGTCTTTTTTGTACAGATGCGGAACGAGATCATCAAGCGACCGGGGGCCAAGATCGAGGGTGGGGAGAAGGACATCAACCAGGACCCCAACTTCGTGAAGGAGCTGCTGGCCCTGCACGGCAAGTACATGGCCGTCGTCAACGACCAGTTCGTGGGAAACTCGCTGCTGCAGAAGGCGCTCGCCTCTGACGGGGCGCCGCGGGTTGCGTCGGGGGGGGTGGGGGTGTTCCGACCCTGCTGTTTCTGGCTCCGGTGTGCTTACGGGGGGGGGAGGGCGCCGCGGGTTGCGCATATGTGGCAGGTGTTCCTTCCCTGCTATTTTCTGTCTCCGGTGTGCCTCCGGGACGATGATCGGGGGGGGGGGGCGTTAGTCGCGTAGTGTGTGTGTGTTCCGTCCCTGCTATTTCTGGCTCCGGCATGCCTCCAGGACACTGATCGGCGTGCGGGGGTTGTGTGGGCAGGGGTTTCTTCCTTGATGTTTTTTTTTGCTCTGGTGTGCCTGCGGGACAATGATCGTGATCGAGGGGATGATGAACGATACACCATTGCTATTGCTATCTGTTGCAGGCGTTCGTGGGCTTCGTGAACCGCGACGTGGGCAAGTTTAAGAACGCCGACTTGATGTGCAGCTTCTGCGACCGCATCATGAAGACGGGGGGGGAGAAGCTCGGCGATGCGGGGTGGGTGTTGGGTATCTCTCTCTCTCTCTCTCTCTCTCTCTCTCTCTCTCTCTCTCTCTCTCTCTCTCTCTCTCTCCCTCTCTCTCTTTGTGCGTTCTTTATTTTTGTTACGGTGATAGCATCGATCGCACAGCTGGCCAATGAACAGACATGATCCTCAGTGGCGGCCGGTGATACCGAAAAAGCCCTTCTGAAGGCCATGTGTGTGTATGTCCTTGGATAGGTATCGTCGGCCGCGCTAACCAGCAGCTGACCAATGAAACTATGCCTCTGCTGTCGCTTCTCCGTAGACGTTGCTGACCCGACGTTCCCCCTTGACGTCCTCTGAACTTGCCTGGACTGGCCATACGCCGGTCATCAGGTAGAGGAGTATCTGGCGAAGGTGGTTCAGCTTTTCTCCTACCTGGCGGACAAGGATCTCTTCGCGAAAATCTACCGCAACCAGCTTGCCAGGCGTCTGCTCAACTCGCGCTCTGCGTCGGACGACATGGAGAGGCTCATGATTGGTGCGTTTAGTTTGTTTGTTGTGTTCGTTGTTTTTCCGAACCAGTACGTCCCCACAACGTATTCCTATGCATGCTGGACTTGCTGGACGGCTGTTGTAAACAGTGCGTGTTTTACTATTTTTCTCATAATAAATAACAATACTTTTTATTGCAACCAGGTACATGTTACGTCCTTTTACTCTTGGCGACGTACCCGAGTTGCGGGACAATAGTTTGTAAAAATCCTTTTACAGCACGTGGCCCACGCGCTGTCATCCAACGTTGGTTGTTGCTGGTGTACTTCTTTGGCATACAAGTGAGTTTTATGTCTTTTACCCTCTTTTGCCGAATTCTTCTTCGTGTGGTGGCGAAAACCTTTAGGCAAGCTCAAGCTCAAGTGCGGGTCGCAGTTCACGTTTAAGATGGAGGGTATGATGAACGACTTGGCCATCGGCGGCGACCACGAGGCCGCCTTCTCGGCGTACCTGAAGGACGGGCAGGAGACCAGGAAGATCGACGTCGCCAAGATAGACTTCAACGTTCAGGTGTGTAGTAGTGGTGCTATCGGTACTTGTTGTTGTTGTTATTGTTGTTGTTGTTGTTGTTGTTGTTGTTGTTGTTGTCACTGCGCTAACCGGCTGACCAATGAGAATACGTCAGTCATACAGCGGGATAACAAACGCGCGAACACGCCTTGAGTCCAACTGTGTGTGTGTCGCAAAGACAACTAAAAACAACAACGAGGACGACGACGACCATCACAACGGCAACGGCAAACGAAACCTGCAACTATTAGTGTATCCTCTCATCTACTGTACCTTCTCTTGTTGCAGGTGCTTACGACGGATTACTGGCCAGCGTACAAGCCGATGGAAGTGACACCCCCTTCCACGATGAAGGAAGTGCACCGAGGTCTTCAAGAAGTACTACGCCGAGACCACGTCGTGAGTTATTGCAGTGCAATAAGCAAGTCTAACATGATTCTTTTTTTTTTGTTGACTCAAGGTCACATGGATTTGAAGCAGATCGTCAACGGGCAGTACTAGGAAGGATATTTTTTGAGATTGTTCATGTTTTGTTTTTGTTGTTGCCAGTTTTGAAAGAACCGATATCGAGACGACGTACGGAGTACACGGGAATGTAAGAAAATATGCGTCTAATTTAGACCTTGCAAGCATGCACGATACAGTGCCTTGGTTGTTTCTCACTGGCATCGTTTTTCACGTGCCCGATCCCTGAATATCCCCCCTTTCTGTGTCGATATCCTTGTCGGTCGTATCCGTCCTATCCACCGTTACGGCAACGCCTGCGTAAGGATGCGGCGTCCCTCCCCTCCCTCTGTCCAATCATCGTTCACTAACCACGCCGCCACCGATGGAAAATACCTTTCACAGCAAACGCCGCCTGGGGTGGTCGCACACACTCGGAAACGTGACTATCCGGGCCAAGTACCAGAAGTCCTACGACTTGCAAGTCACCACTCTCCAGGTCAGTTGATAGCCTTCGCAGGGTTTTCCTATCAAGTACTAATCCTGTTGGATAAACCATGCAATCGGGGAAGTTAGGTTAGGGTTTGCGTTAGGGAATTGGGGTCTGTTTTCGCAAAACTTAAGTGTGTCACGAAGGAGGCGGTCCCTCCAGGTACAGTATATATTGCGACACGCAGGATAGGGTTAAAAGTTACAGGGTTTGTGGTGCGGACCGGCGCTGCTGACGCCAGTCGGGAGATAGTGACAAGTCTCCTAGTCGTGAGGAATCTCCCACACTGACGGTGGTGCGGAATCTACGACAGCACACGTGCGGATCGTGAGAAACTTACTTGCCACACTGACCGCGGGGAGAGGAATCTACGATGCTGCTGCCTGGGCCGTGCAGATTGCCGTCTGGCAGCCGTCGACAAAGCTCGTTTCATTCTCGTCGTAGAGGTTGACGTATTGCTGCTGTGTGAACCCACCCTGATGTTGTACTTTTCCCTCCCATGCTCGGTGTTGGGCACGGTTTTCGGCTCTGCTGGTGGTGCGGGTGATTCGTTTGGTCCTGCAACTTGCTTGTGTGTGCTTGTTTTCTTGTCTTCTTTCAATTAGCAATGAATCATTTTCATTTTTTGGATTGGTCGAATGCATATCGTCGCCGCCCTCCCTCCCTTTTCAGGCGTGTTGCCTGATGGTGTTCTTCGTTCCGTGTACAACTCTGTTTGTTTTTTTATTTTTGTTGTTGGTTGATCGAACGCGTGTCGTCGCCGCCCTCCCTCCCTATCCAGGCGTGTTACCTGATGGTGTTCAGCAAGGAGACCAACACCCTGGTCCTGGGAGAGGTGAGCCAGCGCCTCCACCTGCCCGACGACACCGTGAAGCGGATACTGCACAGCCTCAGCTGCGGCAAGTGCAAGGTGCTCAAGAGAGAGGGACAGGGGGGCCGCATCAAGGCAACGGACAAGGTGTGTGCTCGAGAAAGAGGGGAGGGGGGGGGGGGGGGGCGTAGTCAGTTCGACGGAGAAAGGTGGAGTGGGGGGGCAGGGAACCAACCTTTTTGAATTTTTTTCCCAACCTTGGGTCCCCCCCCAACCCCGTAATTGACGCCCCCCCTAATGCCCCGGGGGATTTTTTTTTTCATGGGGCACCCATGCCCCTTCCCCCGGGACAAGTTTTTCTTCTTACGGGGGGTTATTCCCCCCCCCCCCCCCGTTTTTTTCATTTTTTGGAAAAGTCCAAGAAATGAAAAAAACCCCCCTTTTTCGGGATATAACCCCAGTTGGGGGGGAGGGGTTGAAGTTTTTTCAGGGAATGGGGGAAATTTTTTTGTCCCCATGCCCCCCCCCCCCCCCTCCCTGCCTCTTTCGGTGACGCCATCCCGCCACCACTCCTATGCGCTTGCGTCCGCAGTTCGCCTTCAACGCGTCGGTCAACTGCCCGCTGCGCAAGTTCCGCATCCCGATGGCCTCGCTCGAGGAGAGCCACAACCCCAAGCGAGTGGAGGAGGACAGAGGGTGAGAACGAAATAAAAGAAAAGAACAGAATGAGGCGTGTACCGCACCAGGGTGTTTGGTTGTGTGGTGTAGCATTCGATTGTCACGTGTGGGGGTTGGTGTCATGGGTTGATGGGTGTATGGGTTGTCGGATGTGTTGGGTGTATGGGTTTGGTGTATGGGGTGGGCGGAAGAGCCGGGTGTATGGCTTGGGTGAAGTGAGTTGGGTGGGTGGATTGGGTGTGTGGGTTAGTGGGGTGGTGGCAGCAGCTCTGGTCGCGCTTCTGCTGTGTCATGCCGCAAGTTTCGTGTGAGACCCTCCACGAGAGAGACCCTAAGAAAAGGCCCCACAACGCGCCCTCTGTCATATATACTAGACCAGTTTGCCATGTCATGACGTCTACCGGATTATATGCTATCCCTTTCCCCTCACCCCCCCCTCCCGTCTCTCTTGTTTTCCACCTCTACCGTGTTTTTTTCGTTTTTTTTAGCATTGCGATCGAGGCGGCGATCGTTCGCATCATGAAGGCGCGCAAGACGATCGGACACCCTCAGCTGGTAGCGGAGGTGCTGAGCCAGCTCTCATTCTTCAGCCCCAACCCCAAGGTATGTTTTTACTTATGTTTTTTTTTTTTTTTTGCGACCCCTATATTAGTTTTAGAGACTCGTGCGTGTTTCGCCCCCTGCGTACCATACCCTGCACTTGTGCTCTTGTCGTCGCGATTCCACACGCGGCTGGCGCCTGGAGCGATGTTGTGGAAGGACAGATTCGGACAATGATTCTAGTGATGAACGGTTCAATTATTTCAGACTTGATAGATTTTTATTTGTCTAGTCCTTGCTTGGGATGACGCGAACTTGCCGTTTGTGTTTCACACCACAATCAGGTTGTAATCTGAGCTTGTGAAGAGACATACATGTAGGCACCAGGCATCCCTCCCCCCTGTTGAGTTTTACTGCGGGGGTTTGAGTGCTGTCCCCACGTTTTTCTCCCCCTCTCCACTACTGTACTGCCGTTGTTGTCGACTCTGTTTTTGTTTCTTTTCATTTGTTTGCCGAGAAATCATGTAGTACTGCTCTGTTACTGACCCGTTTATTTTTTCTCATATTCTGTCCATAATGAAGTAACCCTTCTCTGCCCGAATCTCCCCACCCCCCCCGAAACCTTTGAAAATCGCCATTTGTTTGTTCAGGTCATCAAGGCCCGCATCCACGGTCTGATCGAACGCGAGTACTTGGAGCGCGACGCATCCCAGGTCAACCACTACAACTACCTCGCGTGATGGAGTGTGGTGGCGGTAACGGTTTGGGGGGTTGGTCGAACAACCTTGGCTTGCGTTCCTCGTGAAGATGTGATGCCATTATTATCATACAACTGTCTCGCGTGGCCGGCGTGTGTTTCGGGGTGTTCCAACAAACTTGGCTTGCATTCCTGGTGAAGATGTTATTCCACTACAGCTGGCTCGCGTGATGGCGTGTGTGTGGGAGGGTGGTGGAGAACAAGCTTGGCTCGCGTTCCACGTCATGGGGTGACCAGGGCTCTTGTTGTGTCTGGCACTCTTCACACGGGGCCCCCGCATGTGCCCAGGCTTGGGTCTGAAGCATCCGTATGTGGTGCTGTCATTTTTTTTCTCGGCCGTCGTGCCTCTTCTCCGCGTCGGAGAAGCGGCTCTGTTCGCGTGTGGAGCGCGTTGGAGGTGCTTCGTTCGTGTTTGTGGCAAGATGTGTTGTTCCGTACAGGACGCACAACTGCGCAACCAGAACTAGATGACAACTGGAAAATAGGTATAGAGTGATGGGTCGCGTGTGTGGTAATCATGTTGTGTCTCGTTGTTTTAGAGTGCGCGATACACACAGACACAAACACGACACGCGAGTGCGCGCGCCAGCCCGGCTTGTTTTTTTCCTCTCTAGAGGTACGCGTACGATTGACGCGTGCCTTTCCCCAACGCCCTTTGCTTCCGTTCGCGACGATAGCACTAGTTTCAGCGTTGTTTTCTACAAGTGTTTTGGCTTGAGGCCGAAAAGCTGGAGTTGGCGTTTGGCGTGGAGGTTCCAGCGGAAAAACGATTTCGGCATGTGCTGCTCGGCACGATATTTCCAAGGCATATCATAGGGCAAGTGGCCAGGGGTAGCTATTGCAGTAGCCCCCCCCCCCCGCTCAACGGACCATATGGAGGCTCGCGAAGTTATCACTGATGCTTGACCTGCTCGTCTATCTATCCTGTTTTGAACGTCGGCTATGGCGCCTCTTTCTTTTTTTGTCTACAGGATACATAGCGGTCGTCCTCAGTGCTTGTATCATCTTGCGGTGGCCGATTCGACCCGTTGGCTGCGAACGCGGGCCTTTCGCCGCGAACGCTTAAAGTGCAGGGTGCCCACAGTGACCCACCCGGGGATGGATACGTTTGCCCCGGCTCCTTGTGTTTGAGAAGGCGGACATTTTTCGAGGCGACAACTACAGTAGGTATGTAGCTGCAGTTTTGCGCTTTGTGTGATCACATACATGCAGTGCGGTGATCACATGCATGTCAATGTGTGTTGATCACATGCATATGTGACTAAAAACGAGAAAAAAGAGAAACTATTAAGAACTTGTACAATATGCGTAGGTGGAGGATAAGACGACGCGGAAAGTCTAAGCCAGCGTTTTGATATCTCGTGTGTCATCGTCCGGACCTTGCTCGTGGAGGCGGTAATGCCTCTGAAATTGTCAACCCCCCCAAGCAAGGGGCTGCAGATGAGACCAGGGTGAACCGACCGCCAGGCGGCCATCGATTATTGGGGGGGGAATCTGTGGCGGTGTCTGCCAAACCCGTGGTGATGTCGGACTGAACAGGGACGGCCGAAGCTCGAACAAGAGAATGTTTGTCCAGCGCAGCTTCAACAGTCTGCTGGCCATGCACGAATAACACGTTCCACCGTATGTACGCCACACACAAGTCAACGCTGATGCGCCTGCGGACTGATCCCCACCCCGGCGGTGGGACTGTTGCAACAATAAAAACACGGTTCCTCCGCATACAATTTCTTCAAGACGCCAAGTAGGCGCCAAAGCCGAAACAGACTCTCCCCGAAAAAATTTAGGGTGGCGTGCATGCGGAGAACTTTCCACATGCCACGCCGCCGCTGCAGCTAGCCTCTGCATCCCGGTGTAAAACACGCACGATCCTGGGAAGAGTCACTAACAGACTGCTGTAACAACTAATAAACTCCTCGATTCATGCAGAGGAAATGACCGAGGAAGGAGTCCCACACTTCCCGTCTGCGCATCTGGGTACATCAAAATCAAGGTACAAATCTGGATTTTTTTTTTGCCGTGTGGCAGGGTATATACCCCCGGCTATTTGGGAAACGGCCGGGTGAAAGTGGACGTTGACCAATCAGCTGGGCTCGTTTGACGCTGTCAATGAGTATGTACCCAGCTGGGTCGCTTTTCGACCAGGGGGCATGTATGTATATAAATACATATCATGTAGTACAGTAGTCTACCCTGTTTTGTCTTTTACCCGAAAAACACACCCGCCGCCGCAATCAATCAATCTAATAAAGGCCGTCATCGTGCAGGGCAGAATAATTGATGCATATGTACCAGCGTGAAGAACTTGTCACGGTCACAGGCGAGAAGATAGATCGAACGCCAAGCTTTTTGCCGCACGCAGCAACAGCAACACACAACTCGTTGCTCCTCCTCTCACCACTCCTCGTTACTCATCCTCTCACCACTCCTCTTTGGCATCAGATCCTGAAAGCCACCTCTTGTGTGGGCAGGCACGACCCCAACACAAGTAAGTGTACTAATACCAGGTACGTACTAGGGAACGAGCAACAAGTTGACTGGTCTGCCTGATAAAATCTGCGTGTGTGTGTGTGTACCAACCATTTCATTCGGTTCCTCCGCATTCGGTCGGGCCAAACGACACCGTCTTGTTCGTTCGTTCGGCCGACGGATGGAAATCACTGAGATTGGATGATGAAACGTCAATGATGGGTGATTGACGCTTCTCGCATAGGGTCGGGGCAAGACCGAAAGAATATCAGAACCACCGCCGAAGCTTACGTGCTGCAGTCACCTGCAGCGATCGATTTGTCCGCCCGGTGTGCAGTATACCGATGACGCTCGCTCGTCGTACTCTATATTCATCCATGCTAACAACGCTTGAGGGTAGAGGGAAAAGAGAGAGGTGGAGCGTCAAGTTGTTGCCGTTGTTGTTGTTGTTGTTGTTGTTGTTGTTGTTGTTGTTGTTGTTGTTGTTGTTGTTGTTGTTGTCTTCACATCAAAAACCGGTCTCCGCTCAGTACCACCTTCTAAATATGTCCGTACCTTGGTCCAACTGACGCGGACGCCTTTTCCTTCCGTGATCACAAGCCAACTGCCCCCCCCCAAAAGGGCGTAGACCTTAACCCTACAAATAAAAACTTGGAACATAAAGTGCTGCTGCTGGTTACATGATACAACCCGTCGAGTAGATTGCCGCAAAGTTGTCGAGGAGAAAACGTACCTGGTACATAAATTTTAGATCTACATTCTTGTCAGAATTGGCATGTATACCGTGACTCCAGCCCGTCGTCCACAGGGGGGGAGAAGATCCATCACGAATAATTTGCCACAAGATCGAACGCGTGCCACAAGCTCGAACGCGAAGGTGTGCCACACCCACCGGACCTCCCACACACAAACAGCCACCACACCTCATTACTCCTCCTCTCATTCTCGCCAACAGCAGCAACAAGAATCTGCTCTTGGGCAGGTACGATCTCAACCAAAGCACGACGGACTGGGGAATGAAGTGGAAATTAATGTGTGGAGTGCTAACAACCAGCCCGCGTGCTTCATCTTGATTGTTTTTTTTCGTTCGGGCGGAATGAGATCTTGGTAGGGTCGAGGCAAGGCCGAGGCATCATGGTTGAAGCCAATAATACATGGTCTGCGACGATCTGCCGATTGCCCGGCATGATGAACCGATGACGCTCCTGGGAGTCGTAGCGATACATTGGACTTATATCCGTGGAAGAGCTGAACTTGTGTGTTGTTGTGATGCGCGAAAACGCCATCGATAGGTCTTCTCCGGCATTCCGAAAATTGCCGAAAACCGCGCCGCTATACGACAGTATGTAAAGGGAGGGTAGAACATACATGTAGACTCTAGACTGTATACTACACGGGGTTGGGCTGCGTTCTCGTTTTGTGTTCCTATGCATAGCAGCGCTTTGACATTGGGCTTGCCCAGCCTATCGTCATCAATGCTTACAGGGAAAAGGTGCAATGGAAGGAAAGTACCGTAATGGTCGGAGAGATGGTACCGGGTGGGATCGTTTTTTGTTAAATGTTTTTTCCTCGTTTTTTTTATAGCACCCTGGTGCATCTCTCCGACCGGTGATATCTCTCCGACCCCGGTGCGGAAATAAATTTGCTTTTCGGTCTATCCGTCTACACATCCGTCCGTCACGTTCTGGTCGCCCGCCCCATTGCTGGGGGGCGGGGGGCCAATCCGTCACCCTATTGTAAGCATTATGGATGGTGGTATTTTTTTCGACTGCTCAATGTATATATGTGCGTCTGGACTCTGAACAATGACAAACTGGTTCTTTTTTTACTTGCCGGAACTGAGCAATAAGTAACGGGCTCTCTCTCGCACCATATGTATGCTACTTCTGCTGTTGCTGTACAACATGTATTGTCACAGCTATAGGCTTTACACACAGACAGACAGACTGGGACACAGAATAAATAGTCGGGATGCTGTGGAATGGATGTGTTCAACCGGGCCCCATAACGGTCGCAAAACGCCGGACGAACTACAGTATAGCCGCTCCGTGTGGAAAGAGCTGCAAACGCGCGGCATCTGTCGGTGTTAAACACTTTCCGCCCGAGACTGCCAACAACAACGAACGCCCGTCTCGCTGGACAACACTCTCCTTCCAAGGAAATACGAAGCTGTTCTTATAATTTCAAGGCCAAACACTACACCATGGTATGTATCACATTTAAGAGGTTCCGCTTTCATTTTGAGGAACACGTATTGTTGAGTGATGTGAGTCGTTGAGATTTATTCCGTCTTACCTTTCTTTGCAAGAGCTATACATGTAGTCCATCCTAAGCTCCACTTTCCGGGGATGGTTTCACACACGTTAGGCCCCGAACAATTGATGGATCAGGCCTAGACACATGTCAGTAGCCAAGTAAAAATACTTTACATTTGGAGGTTCTTTGATCTTCATGTAGCGCCCAACAATATGTAGCGCCGGCCCAACGCCATGTTTCAGATTTAGAGCTTTTCGCTTTCAAATGGATATGGGAATCTTTGCTTCACGCTCTTAGCAGGCGCTTCATCTTCTGTCGTCCCTGACGCGTCTTATCATTCAAGTTGTGTGTTCTCTTTCGAGGGCTATTGCCACCTCAATCTTTGTCCTTGACTGTCGTTTCTTTCTGACTGAACGGTTTTGAGACGTATCTCTGTGTTTGCGGTCTTTTCCCTATTATTTTCCTC